GCTCGAGCTGCCTTTTTGCGGACGCTGGGTGTACGGAGCGGCGTAACGTTCGCTGCCTGACTCGAGGCGAGACTCTAATGTCTCCCGTCAGCTACCCTCAGCAACCAATGTCCTGTCCCCACTGTTAAATGAAGGCAATTCCTCGGGCGTGTGTCCCTACAAGGGCTCGGGGAACAGTTCCCAAGGGGGGCGGGGCCAAGCTCGTCAGAAGCATTCTCATCCGGGTATTCCCTAGATGCCGCAGCCGCCATCTTTGTTTTGTGCTGAAAGTCGCTATTGACGCCCGCGGACAGCCGGGCGAAGGGAAGTGGCAAGATGGCGACTCCCACGGCGGAGGCGTGGAGGAGCACGGAGGGGTACCGCGGGGATGGGCGCGCCTGCGCCTGACCCGGGCGCAGCCTAAGCCCGAGATAAGCGCGCAGCGACCCCAGACCCTCGCCTCAGGGCAGCGCGGGGGCTCCTTTAAGAGAAGAAGCCAAAGGCGAAACAGAGCGAAGGCGGGAGGGGGAGCAGTGACGTCATCCGACCCCGCCCCCTCGCCCGACCGTCGCAGCCGCCATGTTTAGTTGTTACTTCTTCACACAAGATGGCGGCTCCCAGGGAGGAGGCATGAGCGCCCTGCCGTTACCGCTCCTCATGCCGTACAGTTGTCACTTCAGGGCCTAACTCTGGCTTTTGAAGCGGCTCCTGTGGGAAGGAGTTATAAGGTGGGAATCGAGGATCGGACGCTGCCTTGCGTTTTGTTTGCAGTGGAAGAACTGACCCAGGAAGAAGAGAATAGGGGAGAAGGGGGAGCTAATCTCAAGATGGCGGCTCCCAGAGCGGCAGGCGCAGCCTGAGCAGCTGAGGCGAACTGAGGAGAGAGGTTCAAGACCTCACAAGCCGTACGGCGCAAGCCTCTGAGCAGTCCCAGAGAACTCGAGCTCGTCTGGCCTCCGGCGCGCCTCTATTCCTGACGAGTGTCGAGACTGTTTCGTGAGCGGCGGCTGCACTAAGCGCTGGGCGGGGAAACGGGACGGTCTCAAGATGGCGGCTCCCACAATTGTGGTCTGAGCACCGGCGGGACTGGGACAACCGCGGCGCTTGTGGCTCCTATCCACCCGCCCCGGAAGCCGGCCAGTGCGGGGGACTTGGGGGGTGTGGGAACCGGGCCGGGGCTCCGCCATTTCCGGCGGGTGTGGGCTACGACTGAGGAAGGGAGGAGAGAGAGGCGGCTCAAGATGGCGGCTCCCAGGTCCTCCCGCCCGAGCTTATAAGCAGGAGCTCCCGGGCAAGTAGTCAGAGCGGCTGGACTCGTATGCCTCAAGCTTCTCGGGCCTAGCCGCTCTACTGTTTCGGGACGCTCTTTAAGAGTCGGGTTGAAAGAGAAGAAGGAAAAGAGCCGAAGGGAAGGAGGATAGTTAAGATGGCGGCCTCCATGGAGCCGTCCACCGCTGTGTGAGGAACTGCTTTTCCGTGAGAGCTGCCTTAGACGAAAGGGGGTGTGTGGGAGGTATTGGGGGGCGCCTTTCTCGCTCTGTGACTTTTCCCTATCTCGCCCTTTCCCGGAATTATGGCTTCGGCCG